TGATATACAAATCCTGAAGCATCAATGCAGAATTACCCCCAGATTCCTTCCTGTTCAGAGCAGACCATGCTCCTCAGCCTCTGCATGGCAACCTCATGGCAGTGGTTTCTCCTGACCTCCCACTGGCAGACTTTTGCACTTCTCACCTCCAAAATAACAGGGTTCGTATGGATCATAGAGGTCTTTTCCAACTTTAATCAATCTAGGATTGCCAAGGGGCAAAAAAAGGCACGATCTGAGCTCTGTGGCCCATGGGACTTCTGCAGGGCTTCCACAGAGCCATTCTGTCACCATTGCATGGAAAAGGACAAAGGGCTTACACTGAGGCTGTACCCCCAAATCCACAATCCCACAGTGCAATGTATATATAATCATACATAAAAACACCTAGACTAATAGCTCTAAATTGGTAGAAATAAGGGAAAACCTTCTCCCATAGATGGAACGACAAAATTCCAAGTCAACCATTACAAACTGAATTCGCAGGTGTTTGTTAAAACAAGTTCTAGATGTTACTTCAAAGACAATCAGCCTAAAGACCAATGCCTACCGCTGCCTTAACGTTCCTGCAAGTAAAGAATTGGTGCTGAAATGCAGAAAGCACGCCTGAGGCAAATACACACTCTCAGGTCACATGAAATTGTGGTCAAGAGCTGTCAGCAGAGCACATCTGTGCACAACCACACATCACACCGCAGCTGACTCATTACGGCAATAAAAACAACAGAGGTGAGTTCAATTAACTCTGCCTGAGCGTGTGCGATGGCGACACGGAGCTTTGCTGGGCAGGCAGCACGCAGCCCAGCTCTGCGTCCATCTTCACACTCATGATGAAGCGCAATGTATTCGATGCACGTTCTTAGTGGCAGGAAAAGATGCAGTCAACTTCAGGCACTGCAGCACTTCCCTCTCTTTTGTGCCTCTTCTTATACAGTATATGTACCAGAGACACTTTATGCAATTCTGCACTAAACATCACAGCTCTTTATCCCTTAATCCTGATGACGGGCAAACGCAATGTTGTGTTTTTTGGTGGTTTTTTTACTCATCTAAGCAGCATTTGAAGACATTAAATGCGTTGATATTAAAATCTAATCCAGCTCCCTGCAGCGTTGAGCATTAATAAAACCGCCCTCATCTCATTCTTCCAAACACCAAACTTCATTCAGATTGTCCCACGCTCATCTTTACGCAAAACACCGCTCAGGGATTCTCAAGTTCTGAGTTTATTGCTCTGTTTATCCGGCAGCAGCCTTCCCTCCATCCATTAATCCTCAATTTCATCGCTTCTGTGCTTTTCTCCTGGAGAACCTCTGCTTTCAGAAAGCATTACTTTTCGTGTAGAATCGCCATCTACCTTCAAGCTCAATACTTGGTTAAGCCTCCAAAAATCTCTCCTTTGCTGATGTTCCCCTTTGAGAGCAATAAAACACGATCTCAAAGCGGATGTAGTTAAAAGAAAACAAGAAGAGCACGCCATTACATTTTGTTGTCCTCCAATATTTTGATGTCTGCAATGATTGCAAGTTGGCAGAGGCTTTCAAAAAGAATTTTAAAGGGATGTCAAAGTTCTGCACTGTTTGTTTGCTTCTGTTCTGAAGCCTTGCTGACATCGTGCCTTACTTAATCTCCATCTCATCCTTTTTGGATAAGCTCTGCAGCCTCCCCGTGCCCAGGTTTCCTCCGCGAGCACAAGCCACAAATATTTTGGGATATCTGTCTCCACAGCCCACAAACTCATCTTCCGACGGGCTCCCACGTTTGTGACAAAGGCAGCGCGATGACACGAGGCCAAAGCCCAGCAGAGCACCGCCGCGGTCAGGTTCTGAGAGTTCAGGATTGAGGAACAGGGGAGAAAGAAGCCCGCCCGGCTCCGCGGTGCTCGCAGAGCGGATCTGGAGCTTTGCACGCGGAGTTCCAGACCCCGCAAAGGAGGCACCCGCGCCCAGCAGCGGGCGTCGAGCGGCCGAGGGCCGAGCGCTGCGCTGCGCTCCGCCGGGGCCGCGGCGCCCTGACGGCGGGAGGCGCCATGTTCCCACCCCTCCCCGCCGCCCCGCGCCGCCCGCCCCGCGCCCCCCGGCCCTCAGCGCCGCCGCCGCCGCCCGGCCCTTGCCACAAGATGGCGGCCCCCGGCCCCGCCGCCACTCACCGCCGCGCGGCCCAGCCCGGCCTCCCCGCGCTTTTCTTTTCTCCTCAACTCGGGCAACGTTTAGCGAACCGGCGGCGGGCGCCGCGCATGCGTCGCTGCTCCGGCAGCGGCCCCGAGCCCCACGGCTCCGCTGGGGGCAAGGCGGGGCCGGGCGGCGGCAGGGCGGGCGGGGACGGGGCGGCTCCGGACGTCCGAAACGGGGATCTTGGGCCGGCCCGCGTGAGCGGCGCCTTCGCTGCTCTACCTGTGGTGGAGTTCGCTTCGCACCGCTCTGTTAAAATCGTGCTTCTTCTCATCGGGGAACGTCGTGTTTTTTGTTTTTTTTTCCCCATATGTGAATTTTGAGCAGGGAAGCGCTGCTCAGCGATAGAAGCAGACCGCACTGAAGGCTCTGCTTTTAACCAGGTCCTCGTGCTGCTCCACGAGTTGCTGTGGGATTCCTTACCATGAAAGATGGCATTTTAAAGGATCAGCGCGCGAGTTCAATCAGCTGCTCTTAGGGGAAAGCAAAAGCGTTCAATACCCGAGGGATGCCCAAGGAAGCGGAGCGGGGCAGTGCCTTCACCACGCAGCTGTCGGTTAAAGCTGATGAATCTCTTGAGGAAATCAGCCCCTGCTGAGCCCCGCTGCGCTTCTGCTTCTGTTCCTTGCACCACATCGCTCCCGTGCTGCCCAGCTCTCCACCGTTTTCTTAATCGAAACCTGCTTTTTACCTCTTGATAACTTGCCCGCAGCAATCGATCACCCGCTTTGGAAACGGCAGGAACAAAAGGAGGGAACAGGCAACAACGAATTGCATCCAAAAACTGCACTAATTAATGAATTACATCTAAAAACGGCACTAATACCTCACTGCAAGTACAGACATTTCCGTGCAGAGTAGTTGCTAGCTCCTTACTTCTGCATGGCCCAAACTACTCACCTATGTAACCTCAAATTAATTTTTGACCTGTGTGGTTTATAGAACCTCCTCTACTGGGCACAGCGTGCATCTTAGTTAAAAGTTTGCCTGTGTGCTTCCTTCCACCCTCGAAACACCCATCCTCAGGGATCCGGGGAAGAAAGTACTGAGCACCCTTACTAAAAACACGCACTTCACTAGCAGCAGCATTGGCTGTCAGACAGCAAAAGCAAGAGTAAAATGCTCGCCTACACTTAACAGGCTGTGGATTTTGTTAGGAAGGATTTAAGCTAATTATCCCTATTATCATCACAGAACGGCTTGGGTTAAAAGGGACCCCAAGGACCATCATCACCTTGCCAGCACCTTGCCTGTTTCTTTTATAAGCAGCAGAAGGAATTGCAAACACTCATCGCCTAAGATGTTCAAGCAGTAACCACAAAACTGAACATCTCAAACTTCAAAGGAAATTAAATATCACTTCCACCGAGCTTTCTCATGCTCCTGCAGTAATATGACATTTGATACAGCCTGAGCCACTCACCGAGCCATGAGCCCTCACTTACGTGCTACAGAAATATTGTCTTGAAAGCCACTCTTGTGATCTATCACCCTTTCATCTTTTTAATGCGGCAGTGCAAGTTTCAAATGATCCAATTATACAAAAATCACTTGTTCCTATGAAGTTAACATCTAGTTGCAAGAATTGCCATTAGAAATATGGTTAGCAGTTTGAGATTAGCTACAGGAAAGTTCTTAATAAAGCTGTAACTAACCTTCCCTACCAGACTAAGGGAGGATTAATAAGATTTGCTTTGCCTGGCATTTTCTGACGGCACTGCTGGCTCCAAAAGGTAGGAATGTCAGTTCTTAATTCAAAGCCAATGTAGGAGCTTGTAGAAAGTTCAGTTTTAATAATTTGCTAATGGTACAACTGTAAAACTGGAGTGCTATTCAGGACCAGTTAGAGAACTCGTGCTAGAAGCTGCTCTCCTTCCTTCCCAAATTCAGAGGGGTGCTGAGGACATTCAAGTAGATCAGCTCACCCCTCAGTCCTCTCTAGTCCTCTAGAGCTCCTCAAAAACACATGCCACACATTTCTCTTCTGTGTTTCCTCCAAAGCAGAGGTGTTTTGCTAGGAAGAAAAGCTCCTGGAGCTTTAGCCTCAACTCCCAATTGCTCTGTGTGTAACTGGAGAAGATGGATTGACTGCTGTAATGTTCTCGTGACACCTGGTTCAGACTAACACCTTTCCATTATAAAGTTATGCTTCATGACTGAAATCTCAAACTCACAATCAGAGATTATGAAATCATAGCAGTAAACAGCTGGATAAGCTTTGTGTCCTCCTGCTGAGTGTGCCAGACTAGCAAAACAACTGTAAAAGCACCGTGCCTCTCCCTTCATTTCTCAAGGGCACTGTAAGAAAGGCCAACTGTGCAGCAGAGGAAACAACTGAACTGATGATCTACAAAATAAAGCAAAAAGCAGAAGAAGCACGTTTTCCATGTGAACCATACTTACCTTTGGTGTTGGCTGTATAGAGAGCAAAATGTTTTGTTACAAAACAATGATTTCTGTTGACTTAAGTCTAGCAAGTTAAGTGGCTGAAAAAACACCTTCTTCGTATTATGGAAGCTGAAGCACACTACATTTCATTTATACACACAATGGAAAACAGTCTTGTCATCTTCATTATTTTTTCTGGTTCATTTTCTTGTATTCTTCTGATTGCAATGTTACAGCTCTAAACAACACTGTAAGTGCTTCTGGAGAAACAAGTTAAAATAACTTGATTATATTCAAGTAATTATATTATATGACTACATATAGAGTGACTTTCCAAACCAAGACCCCATTCTAAGAGCAACTGTTCTGCAAATTCAAGTTGACGCCGATTGATCTAAAACAGCAACAATCACAACACAACTTCAGGTAATCACCATCAAGTGTCATCAAGCAAAAATAGTCTTTATTCAAATCTCATGGAAACAGGGATCACTGTACTTTGCAAGACGGGGAAAAATAAATAAAAAATTAATATAAAACAAGGATATTGTCACAATACCAGAATATGGAACTCTATTTTCCCACAGATTACTGCAAGTACCTTTTTATCCCCTTTTGACTGTGCTATTCACAACTCTGTAAGTCCGAAAAAATATGAAACAGAAGTAGTATGAAACTTAAGACTTAGCACTTCCACTAAATGGCATACAGCAAAGGGCATCAATTCAAGGGCAAAGATTGTTGAAGCCATCATACCTACCTATCAGTCATCACTGCGATCTCATAAACCCACTATGGTGCAGTGCTCACTCTCTGCAAAGCTCCTCCTGGAAAACAGGGCCGTTTCAGTGATCTGGGAAGAACTGTATTCTAAGAGAACCTTCCTGTAGAAGAGTGAAAGAGCTGAACAGCCCTGCACCAGAGAGCATTACAGGGAGCGAGTACTGCCACTAACAACGACAGACAAACCATCAGGGCAGTTAAAAATATACAGCATTGACATGTTTTCTACTTCAATCACTTGTGCTACAACTACCAAACACGTACAAAAGACTTCTCTGACTGTTCCGAGTATGGTTGCAGCAAGGTTAGGATCTGGAGCGAGACCTTGACCGCGATCGGGAGCGTGACCTGGAGGCAGACCTAGACTTGGACCGGGACCTCGGTTTTGAAACAGATTTTGACCTGGAACGGGAATCTGATTTGACATTTGGTTTTGACTTGGAAATAGATCTAGACCTAGAGCGAGACACCACACGGGCAGCTGCATCCTCACCCTCACCTTTTGTCTCCTTTTTGTCAGACTCTGATTTTTGATGTTCCTTTTCTCTGGAGACTGACCTGGACTGCTCACGGCTGTCCTTCCTCTTTTTCTTGCTGCTCGGTTTGCTATCTCGCTTGCTGCGCCTCTTGCTTTTCTCACTCTTGCTGCAGCTCCTGCTTCTACTTCTGCTGTCATCCCTGCTTCTCTTCCTATTTTTCCTTTTCTCCTTACTGTGGCTCCTGCTCCTACTCTCATTCCTGCTCTTGCTCCTACTTCTAGCTTTGCTAATGCTCTTTTCCCTATCTTTGCTTCTACTCCTCAAGCTCTCCCTTGTCTCTCCCCTGTCCTTGCTTCCACTCCTGCTCCTGCTCTTGCTCTTTTCCTTGCTGCGGCTCCTGCTCTTTTCTTTCTCATCACTGTTATGGAGAGTGCCCTCAGATTTATCTTTACTTTTGTTCCGCGATTTCTCTGCACTCCTGCTGCGGCTCCTACTTTTATCCTCTTTACTTGGAGTCCTGCTTTTCTCTTTTTGGCCTCTGCTACGGCTCTTGCTTCGACTACGGCTCTTGCTTCTGGAACGGGACACAGACCTGGAAGGGCAAAGCCAACAGACAACTTCACTTTAGTGCAGCCTGGATTTGACCAGTGCTTAAATACTGTGCATAAGTCAAGAAAAACACTTTTCCCCCACTTAAATGAGAAGCGTCATCCCAAATTTAAGCGACTAGCCCCCATTTCTTTCACCACAAAGACGTACCTGGATCTTGATCTACTCTTGGAGCGACTGCTGCTGGCACTGCGGCTCCGGCTCTTATGAGAATGCCTGCTTCGAGAGCGAGACCTAGAACAAAATCCATCAGCTCAACATTAGCGTGTGCCCACGGAGGGCTTCTGGTCTCCTGCAGGTAAAAGCCCACAGCATTAAAGCACCTGTCAAGAACTCCTGAGCTTTTGAGAAACCTTGGAACCCTTATGCAGGAGGCACAACACACCAGTGCTTACTGAGGTAAAGGCTGCAATAGGGCCACTTCATTTTGCAGCTTATTATTATGAATCAGTTATAGAGCTGCTATCTGCCAACCTGCACACACCACTGAGGAGTGGTGAAGACATGAGAGAACAGCAGGAATCACGACTGACTGAGAGAGGAAAATCCACATGAAATCAAGCTTTAAATTCATGAGTTGTTCCACAAACAGCAGAAGTTCGCCTGAATTTTATTACAAAGTTCTACCCCAAAATGGAACGTGGCAGTGTGTGCTGAAGCATTTCTCTTGATCATACAAAGTAGGAAGTACATCTCTACAAACAAGGACTGGTTGGGGGCTTCCAAATTGAGGAAGAACTGTTAGCCCTGGTGCCTAGAGCAGAACACAGTGTTCAGAACTGAAGTGTTAGGAGTACCTTCTGCTTCATTCTCTATGCACAGCTCCACCTGCCACACAGCATTCCTCTGCAAGAAAACAAGGACTACAGACTTAATGGAGTTGGGAAGAGGAGTAGCATACTGCCATGTATTTAGATAACCGATACACACATCCACTGAAGAAAACACTTCTGATACGAGTTCCCTTGGTGACTTCCTGGTACCTGGTAAGTTCTCAAAAACTTGGTTTATTGAGAAGTCAGAACACTTGCAAGGTGTTTTAGAACCCGCTGCATGTTCATATAATTGCAGTTAGATTAAGCCTCACGATGCCACCAGGAGACATACCTTGAATGGCTTCGGCTTCTGGAGTAAGAGCGGCGCCGTCTTGATCCAGGTCTGTCTTCCACTAATCTAATCTTTCTGCCATTTACTTCTGTCCCGTCCAGCTTTTCAAGGGCTCTTTTCATGTCAGAATAGGATTTGAACTCAATCACACCTTCATTTTTCCTTCCTTTGTGTGCATCTGCATATGTCACTTCCCCTGCCTGACGCATATAATCCTAGAGGAAGAGGACAGAATAACCATTGCCTCAAATCCAGAGTCAGGCTTCCAGGCTCTGCTCATCTCTCAGCGATGCTTGCACAGCCTCTTCTAGTCACACTGATGTCAGCAAGGGTTTTAAACAAAGAGCATTTGCAGTACTAAAGCCAAAAGTTCCTGAGCAAGCCAAGTAACACACTACAATTTCACAGAGTTTGTGCGATTAGAAAACTAAGGCAGCACTGATAATTTGAGCCAAATAATTTAAGATCTCTCATCTAGAGTCTAATGTCAGTAGGGCTGGGCTACGATAAAGTACAGAAATGTGTCGAGAAATAGATGCTTGCTCTCTAAATCCTGTTTTCAAAGTAACTTGGGGAAAGGAACACCCTTAAAGGTTAAATATGAGAAGGCCTCACACAGGCAAGAAGGCTTTAAAGCAAGCAGACTTCCCTTTGTCCTCCACCTAGGCAGCACATCTCATTCTGCTGGAAGAAACCCCCACACAAAAAAAGAGCTGAATTCAGTTTCCCACTTCATGCTACCTGGCTTCTCTGTTTCACTTACTAAGCAGGTGAGCCCTGCTCAGAGCAAGCTGCCACAAGGCCATCTCAGCCACTAGCTACTTCAGCTGCAATGGGAACAGCACACAGAAATTTGGTTCAGTCTGTTTTTGGCCCAGCTACTCCCATCTTAATTACACTGAAATGAAAGCTGTTCGGAGAAGCAGTGCATCCAGTAGAGAATTAATCATGCCATGCTCTACTTACAATTTTTAATACCAGAAGCAAAGACAAGCTACTGATGGTGTGAAGCATTAACAAAAGACATTTGAAGAATCTCAGTACGTACCTGAACTAGTGTTACACATTCAATTACAGACCAGTCTGTACTACGTCAAAGTTTGTTTAGAACAAATTTTACACATCCTTAAAAGAGAACCATAAAGAAAGCGTTCCTGTAAGAACAAGTGTTTTCAACCATTGCTGCTAAGTTCAATTAGGAAACACTGCCTTTCTGCACCTACTGTTGGAATGCTGCTCCCTGTCCTGCCCCTCTAGTCCACTATGCAGATAATCACAAGTCAGCACCACCTCCAGGGGACTCAGATGTAGTGCTGTCTACACAGCGTTACCCAACATTTCCACTGCTGAGAATCACTTTCCATTCCTTCAGACTTTGAGAGAACATTCACTTTTTGGCAGAGATGGTTGCTCATTCGGGCAGCATCCTCTCCCTGAAACAGCCTTTAAAACAGTTTTTTTTCCACGCTGTGGAAATTTTTAAGAGGGATTGTGCAAGAATGATGCTATCTTTTCCAAACAGCTCTTAGAAGCTGATGGTTAAAATCCAAACAGACAAGGGCAAATTCCTTTGTCTCTGGCGACTCCTACCACAGGCCTGCCTGAAGTGTTTCCACAATAACAGCTTAACAATAATCATCTCTAAGTGACGGTTTGTTAGGGCAAATGTTTTCCTCCCACCATCCGAGGACACCAAGCCTGCAACTGCAGCTCCCCATGTTGCATGCCACACTACTGGCTTCGTATACACAAAGACACATCAAGACTGACTCAATATCGCTTCAAGAAAATGAACTTGTATGCATATGAGCACACAGATTTACTGACATGTTGGAGCTAAAAAAAAAAAAGACAGGCGTATGAGTTTTCTTGGATGAAACAGAAGCTAACTTTTTTACCCTTTGTGCTCTTTAATAGAGAAAGGGTAAAGAAAGGGGCCCCATACCTTAAGATCTTGCCAACTGCAGCGGCTTGACAAATTTTCCACAATCAATCTGTATTCTGTACGGGTAGGAGGACCGTACTTATCTCTTCCGCTTCTTCTATAACCATATCCACCTTTAGGAGGTGACAAGCAGACAGCAGTACTTCAACCAGGGAAATGGAGCACTCACTCTACACCCCCCCGACAAAAACGTTCTGCCCCATCTGTTTCCAAATGCATTCAAAATTCACACCCCCACAAGTTTAAAAAGAAAGAAATAAACCCCCCTTGTACAAAACACGAAGAGCCAAAGTGTTAAAAATGATTACAAGCACATCATTAAAGCTACGCACGGAATTATAATTAAGTTAAAAGTAACATGCAATTAAGTTTACTCTTTAAAACAGATTGAAAGAAGAAACCAAATTAAACCAGTTTACTAATGTTACTTACATTGCTTACAAGTTTTCTGAGTATTTGATATGAATAAAGATTTTCAGGCACCTATTTGAGATTAATCTCATCTGTCTCTAACCCTTGGGATCCTCACCACCCAGGTCTAATGGGAAAAGGTTGCAGTTGTCACATGGCTTCCTTTTTTGGTCAGCCAAGGGCCACAAGTTCAAAGAGCCACTCATGGAAAGGTAACCCAAGGTCAGCAAATGGAACAGGCAGTCATCTTAGCCTCAAAGGACTCTTAATTAAAACATTGAGGTCTTTGTTAAAGCTATGTTAAACATCACATTGCAAATCAACCATTAAAATAGTTAAACAAAACGATAATAAAATAATAGTACAAGAAAGCATGTTTATTAATTTATCCATTAAAAGAGTTTAATACAACAAATATTCAGATCGACAGTTACATTTACAGTTACAAAACACTATTCACAGCTTCATATCATTTTCTTTTAAAATTACTTAAAAAAATAAAATAAAATAAAAACAAGCAAAAATATTTTATTTAAAGTAAGTCACTGATACAAATGCATTGTAGTGCTTACTGCGTCCAGAACCATAACTGCTGTCACGACGTGGGCCTCTGGCATGCTCAACGATCACTCTTTCCCCACAAAGATCTTTACCATTTAGCTCATAAACAGCATCATCTGCATCTCGCAGGTCATCGAACTCCACAAAGCCGTACCTGGAAACACGGGGGGAGAAAATAAAGACAAGAGAATCACTCAAAACTGAGCCTGAGGTCTTCGTACTGGCAACAGCTGCCTCTGCAGAAGCATCTGAGGGAACCTCCGTGTGTGAATGTCAGTACCTCACGTGGAAATGCTCGTCTACCTCTGCAAATACATGGGGTCTGTGCACTGTGCTTGAAAGGCCAAACAAAAAAAGATGATGTGAAGTCAGGAAAAGGGATTTGCTTTTGCTCCTCAATAGACTCATTTTCCTCTAGACTGTGAGCAGTAACAGCCCAGAAAGCACTTAATGACAGCCCAAAACTTCAGAGAGCATGGGGAGACCAAACCTTAAAGAAATGCAGCAGCAGCCACCAGAAATGAGTTCCTGGGGTGAACAGGGGGCACCCGCAGCCAAGACAGTGCAATGACAGCACTGGGCACAGGCCCAAGGAATCACAGAATCGAGGCTGGAAAACATCTCCCAGACCATCTGTCCAACCATCCACCTACCACCCATTCTGGCACTGCACCACGTCCTTAAGTCCACATCTACACAGCTCTTCAGCACCTCCATGGACAGCCACTCCAGCACTGCCCTGCAGCCTGCAGGCACCCAATCCCCTCAGTCAGGATCCCACAGGATGGTTTATAAAACCATTTCCTACAGCTGCTTCTCAGGGCACGCTGTGATTTGCTTAAGGCTGCAGAGCAAATTCAGGGGAGCGCTGCAGTAAAACTCAGGCCTGCCAGCTCCTAAACACACGTTTAAAGAAAATAACAATGTGTAAAATGCCCATCACCATGCATTTGTGGCTTTTTTATTGTTGTCCACCCACCAAAACACCTTCAAGAAGGTCCCACAGAGAGGACTACGACCAGCCAAACCTCAGCTGAAAGCGTTGAACTTCCTTCTCCTCACTTGCTCCAAAAGGAACCACTACATATCTACCCTATCTGTTCATCCTATTCACCAAGGAGTGTAATAACACAAAAGCAGCCCTAGAATAAGATGGGCCAGCAACAACAAAACCACACTCCATACCACTCATAAACGAAAGTAATGCTGATCCACCTGTTAAATACGTGTAATATTGCACTGTATGATGCAAACCCATGAATCAAACCCCTTTGGAAGCATAGTTTTACACCACAGAAAGCCACGAGTGCTGACACAGCTTTAACTACAGCAATCTGAGCCTGCTGTTACTTGACAGCAGGGCAAGTAAATCTTCTTTTAAATGTCTACTATTACTACTTCATACGTGGCATAAAACTACTTACTAAAAACGTCAACGCAATTTACTCCAGATAATGTGAAGCTACACCATTTTCTGCTCTAGGATAAGAGGAAAAAAAAGAAAGGAAACTCTCTTGAAAGAGAATTTAACAGCTTACAGTCCATTCCAATTCATGTGATGCCTTTGAGTCCTCCTGCTCAGATGAAGCTACAGTCAGGAAAGGGAATATCAGGGTTCGCAAGGAAAAGCATCTTCAGACTGCTTGAAACATAATAGTCATTTAAATAAGTTACTGAAGCTAAAATCTCAGAAAACACTCAAATTTCAGTATTTAGAACTTCAACTACTTAAGCATCCCTTAAGATTTGGTAAATAATCATTCTTTGAAATTGCTTCAATAATGATAAGCATTGCCACCAATGGTCTGCTAGCAAAACTGAACAACTGACAGCAACAGAAAAAAGTCTCATCTTATTCACCTCCATTAATATCAAGGCAGAGAAAGGCCTGAATCCTTTGGAACGATAGGAGCAGTTCAGTGGAATCGTCCCTCCTGACATCCAGCTGTGCTGGCTCTCACCATTTCATGACTGCAACCTAATTTTTTAACACTGGCTGCTCCCACCGAAGTCAAACACTTCGCAGGGAAATCAAATCACTTCTCTTTAGGCAACAAACACAGGTTTTGAACTCAGCGAGATGAAAGAATTGAAGCTTGAAGCTTTTGGCTTTGATCTCTGCTCCTCAGCGCGTTGCAGAAGTTACGTCCCTCCTCAAGCAGGGATTTCTCCAAGGCGAAGCCATGAACACCAGAAAGCTGCTCAGGGTGACGCAGGGCAGGGAAGCACACAGACAGAACTGTTTGTTAAAGCTAGCGAGATTGCAAATTGCTCTCACCACCAGCAAAAGCTTCCAGCTTTCAAGTTATTACTGCTAGTTTTTCTCATGCTTTCAGTAGATAAAAAAGCAGGCTGAAAAGTCCAATTTTCTGGTCATTTAATACACACACTACTGCCGTGCACAGCTCCAGATGTCCATGTAGGAAAACATGTGAGAACTATGAGCACACAACCAGAAACTTCAAACAGAAATGGAAGGACCTACAAGGAATGGATATTTATTCTCTGGTCCTTCCCTCAGGTAAACACTGTTCAAAGACTTTGAACTGCAAGCTTAAGTTACAACTAGCAGCACCCAAGACCCAGCAAAGCCTTCAGGACTCTGCTGCGTCACATTCCAGTCGCATCTTATTGCTGAAGCAATTCAGCTTAGCTGCTAAAATACTGACAGGCTGATCTCCTGCAGGCTGAGCACTGCCAACAGCCCACCAGCTTCCAGAAGAAACTGAAAGACTCTACAGAGTGAAACAGTGCGCAGTCATTTTTAATCATTTGCTAAGCACTACTAAAAATAAGCTGACAAGAAAGGATCATTGGGCAAACAAAGCTCCGGAGTGCTCCAGCAAACGTCGAGCACGAGGCGAACCCAAGCAGAACAGCATCAAATCTGATAGCTGGAGTCAATAGCTGTCCAACTGGAATTTAAATACAAGCCACCAGGAGCCTGCACAGACAGCTTCAGGATAATGCCCTATAAATGCCCATCCTAGAAACATACATGGAGCTCTATCTAACCCACAGCAGAAGCAACCTACCACAGAATCAGCAGACAGCAAGGCAGATGACCGCTCAGTTACACGTAGTTCCCTGTATCCCTCCAGTTATCTGCAACTTTTGAACTCTGTCTCCCCCAAGTGAACTTTGGTGTCACGTTCAGACTATTCACACTGTAGGTGTGGGCTGTGTCTTCCCTTTCACTCTGCAGTCTGTTGTAACTGGCACTCAGGATGCCCTGAGAGATGCTTTCAGCTTTGGCCACCTGAACTCAACACAGCTGCCCACAGAGCACTTAACAATGCTAAGCTGGCATGGAAGGGCCAATCCTTGCAAGACATTTCTCAATAAAGCAAGAGGACCAGCCCATTACCGCATCAGACATGCAATTTGGTAGATCCATATCCATTAATGAAAGATGTTTTTCTCTGCTGACATCTGCCTATGAAGTACAAATATTTCTTTCAGAGCTTTCATACAACAACATAAAAACAAGATACCCCTTGAGCTCCAACAACGTGCAACCAAATACCTGAGCACATTTCAACATTACCTGGCTAAAACATCAATATGTGCACACACCTTTGTTTTAATAATTGCTTTTATTTGTCTTATGAACTTGTTAAATGTCCACCTCCCAGTAAAGCCAGTGTAACAGTTTAGTGAGCTTTCTGATGTTCTCTTTTACAAGAGATCCATTTACAAACAGAAGTGATAATCAGCCCTCTTGGCTAATAGCAACAAATTCCATATCCCACTCAGTCTTCCTAAACAAGACTTCAAGTTTTCTTACAAAGATGCCAGCGCTCATTAGGCGGGCAGCTTCAAGAAACAGGAAAAAGAAAGCAGCAATTTATTTCCTCTTTAGAATCGATACTTGAATGTCTCGTCCAAGTGCTGGTGGATCAGGATCCAACCCTCTACATGCAGCAAGGAGTCCTTATGTTACCACAGCTGCCCAGAGGCATCCCACCCTGAGTGCTGGGGAGGGGGCAGGCACTCAAATACACCTGCATGGGGAGCCACTGCCACCCTGCCAGGCTGGGTGCTGGGAAGGGGCTGCACCACAGCTCAGCCCAGCTGAGAGGCGATACAGAATCACAGAATGGCCAGGGTTGGAAGGGGCTTCAAGGATGATGAAGCTCCAACCCCGCTGCCACACACAGGGTCACCAACCTCCACATTCAATGTCAGCCCAGGCTGCCCAGGGCCCCATCCAACCTGGCCTTGAACACCTCCAGGGATGGACGGGGCATCACAGCCTCTCCGGGCAGCTGTTCCAGCACCTTACCACTCTCATAGCAAAGAACTTCCCCCTGACATCCAGCCTCAGTCTTCCCTTCTTCAACTTCAAACCATTTCCCCTTGTCCTGCTGTTATCCCCCCCTTTCCAAGAGTTGATTCCCCTCCTGTTTGTAGGCTCCCTTTAGGTACTGAAGGCTGCAATGAGGTCACCCTGCAGCCTTCTTTTCTCCAGGCTGAATAAGCCCAGCTCCCTCAGCCTGTCTTCGTAGGAGAGGTGCTGCAGCCCCCTGATCATCTTTGTGCCCCTCCTCCGGACCCTCTCCAACAGCTCCCTGTCTTTATTGTACTGGGGGCTCCAGACCTGGACACAGCACTGCAGATGGGGCCTCACAAGGGCAGAGCAGAGGAGGACAATCACCTCCCTGTCCCTGCTGGCCACCCCTCATCTGACGGAGCCCAGGATCCCATTTGCTTCCTGAGCTGCAGGAAACACTGCTGGCTCATGTTCAGCTTTCCATCCATCAGGACCCGCAGGTCCTTCTCCATAGGGCTGCTCTCGAGGACTCTTCCTCCCCTGCCATTACGGGACGCCCCCAGCTCACACAGGGCACTCTGCCCTCCCTCCCCTTTAACCTCAATGCTGAACACCTCCTCCCCACGCTCTCCCCAGCCGCCCTAAAACCCCACAGCCATACCTCTCCCGGCCCACCCCCTGCGCCTGCGCATCCCAACGGCACCGGCCGCCCTGCCTCCCCCCGTTTCCATGGAAACCCACGCCCCTCAACCCCCCCCCCCCCCCA